GAAAAAGTTACTATATACAGTGCGAAAAATACGAAACATACCACTCTTAATAACTTTTAATCTAATGATCGGATTTCACGTTCTAGGACTCAATTTTAATAGTTCGAGTGGTTGACCTCAAATAATGTAATTAATTAGTGAAGACAAATATATTAGTTAATTAGTGAAGGCAAGTATGGTAATTATTTGGTAAGTTATGAAATCACACACAAAAACGTACTTTCCCTGAATTTACAAGCCTTTTTTTGGACGGATTCGGAGTTTTGACCCCTAAAATGTAGGGGGTAGCCGCAATCTAGGAAATATGATCCCAATAGTTTGTTCAGGAGAGCGATCCAAACTTTGGAGCCCTTAATGTTAATTTTACTTTTTTGTGTATTTCACGGAATCTCGAGAAATTTTTAAGCCATTTAAAAAAACTTGAACGCAATTATAAAGTTCATTTATCTAAAGACAATTCCACAGCATAAAAAACTTTTATTGTATATTTACTATTTTTTATTATTTAATTTAATAATTGTCGAAAAAGTTCTGAATTGTAAGGTTGTAACAAGCGTAACTTTAAGCAAGGCTGTTTAAGGCACACGTTGAACTCTTCAGTTCAAGGGAAGACACCATCAGAATAGGACTTTTAGTCCCTATTCTACTCAAAATGNCCCCCCCCCGTCTTTTAATTGCTCTTTTAAGTGTCTCACTTACGTTAATTTTTTTATTTAAATTTAAATTAAATACTTTTGTCCAAATAAATTTGTCCCTTAAATGCCCATTTCTTATTTTGAGCCTCTTAAAACTTACACCAAAGCGGGCATAAGGTGTAAAATTTTTTACATCATTGTAAAAAATATAATTTTCCATAGCAAAATACAAAATGTGACTATAATCGATCAAATAGTTTCTGTCAAATCAAATTTCACAAAAATCGCATTTTAAAAACTTGAATATTCAGGATCTATTCTACCTTTTTTCACTCACGTCTTGTATTTTGCCATGTAAAATTATATTATTTAAATTGATATAAAGAATTGTGTACCTTACAATTCAAAATATTTTTGTCCAATGTTAAATAAAATAATAAAAAATGATAAATATTTATTAAAAGTTATTTTTTGAATGAGTAAAGGAATTTTACAACTATGTGCAGAAATATTTCAATTAGCTTAATTCCTCGAGATATGGCGAAATATGCAAAAAGTAAAATTAATATTAATGGTTTCAAACTTTGGACCACACTCAAACTATTGGAACCATATTTTTCAAACCTGACTCAGTCAAAGAAAAGGTATGTTTATTCAGAGAAAATATATATATATTTTTGTCTGATTTCGTAACTTAAAAAATATTGTCTGCACTAATTAGTTAGCATATTTGATGTCAATCAGTCGAATCATCAAGATTGAGTCCAAAAAAGTGAAAATCTGAATATTAGATCAAACGTTATTCAGGATGGTCCATTTTTCATTTTGCACACTGCACATGGCGACATTTTTCCAGGCACAGAATTTATTTTCATGTTCACGAGTTAGAAATCGAAAATAAGATGTATTATCTTTCTAACAACAAAACGTATTTAAAAACGTTTCGGTGCTTCAAGTTTAAGACAAGACGATTAGAAACAAGGCGACGAAGACATTTGGACTGTCTGGTGGTCAAGGAGTTGGCCACGTACTGGAAAGATCCCTGGATCGAATCCATCGTTGGGCATGTGTCTAATTTATGTCTCTGATCTATCTGTCCTGTTTGTGTTGTTAGGGCCACATTGATCTATCTATGTAGTGCCCATGATAAATTAATTATTTAAGAAGTTAGATACTTTAGGCACTACGAGCTTTCTGTTTTTTCAGTAAAAAATGAATTTACGAAATATTTCTTTAATTTTGATGGCATTTGTCTTCTCGAATAACTGACAATAATTTTTTCTCTGGCCATGGTGGCTCAGGGGATAGAGCGCTCGCCTTCCAATGAGGTGAACCGGGTTCGAATCTCAGCGATGGCTGATCGATATGAATTCCGCACCCCGCTTGTCTCTACCACAGTGCTGACTTAAAATATTCTCAGTGGTAGACGGATCATGGGCTAGAGTCCCCTTGTCGTCAGACTAACCACTGGAGGTTTTCGGGGTTTTCCTCTCCACACAAATGTGGGTTAGTTCCATGAAAAAGTCCTCCACGAAGGCAAATTTCTCCCAATACTGAATCCAGTAGTTCTCTTACCTTCTGAATTGGGTTCAAAATTAGAAGCAACTCAGTTGAGCATTAGTAATCGTAAACCCAAAATTGTACCGTCTATTTAACGACGATTATAAAATTATATCATAAAATGAAATATCGATTTCGTCACTTTGACGAAAAATTCGCTCAAAGCATGCACCGTCAAGAAACAAAAAAACGTTTCGTGATATTTAAGTATCCATTTTTTACAGTGTACCGATCTCTATCCCCGCAAAATGTTCTGCCCAAGCACTCACTACTCGCAACTACGACTGTGACGCTAAGAAAGATTTTTTGGAAGAATTCAAAATTTGCTACCGAGTTTTATTAATCAACAAAAGAATTTTGGAAATTATTAATATAATTTGATCTTTATTCAAACGCTTTCTATGTTTAAAAAATTATTTTAGCTCTTTCAATATCCGTTTCATCAGCTTTCTAAAGTTTAAAACTAATATCTCAACAATATCTCAGTTCTATTTTCAACTAAGCTTTAATATTCCCCCCCCCCTCTAAAAAAGGGCATTCGGAGAAATTTTTGACCCGGTGAAGCCCGTCTATGGCATTTATTAAAATCCAAGAAAAATACAATAGTTGCTGATGGCAGCTGCAGAAACAAAAACAAAAATTTTGCAAAGAATATTGATTCAGTCTCATGTCAAAGGATCCTTATAAATTGGTTGGAATAAGTATTGTAGAATACTATAAATACAGGTTATTAAGCCAAAACATAAACCAAAACATAAACCTATTTCATCACTTAAACAAGTGTTATTTTAGTAAAGTTCTACCTAAGTTAGTTTTATTTTAAGTTAAGAAAAATTTACTTCACTAGAAATTTCAATAGAGTTTGTTAAGAGGTTAAATTTCAAAAAGGTGAATTTGCGAAGAAATTTATTGCAATAAGACATTTATAACAATGAATTTGCCGCAAGACGTTTTGAAAGTAATTTAAATTGGCGGTAAGACATTTAAAGTTATGAATTTGCAGTAAGATATTTATAGCAAGATAGCATTTTAATAGTTCGAAGTACCTTATCATTTATTCAAAAAATTATAAAAATTACTTTTTCTTAAGTTGCAATAATTATACCTTATAGTGAGTATTTTTTATAGTTAACCATAACTACAACAATATAACAGATCAATTATTTATAAATTGAAAGATGAGCAAAAACAAAACATGGGAGTTACAGACATGTGATTTTTCCGCTAATTCACGGTATTCAGCGAATCTCAAGACCACTGATTCTCGGAATTCCGTGAATCAGTAATTTATTTTCCGGCAAAATTTTGTCGGAGTTCCGCTAATCTAAAATTTAAATTTCATTACTTTAGCAAGATCTCGTTAACGAGATATTTATTCCGCCTTTACCAGCACTCTCTTTTTTTTCTTCTTCCAAAGTTCTCATTCAAACGCGATAATAATTTATTTTTTTTACAGCATAAAAAACGCAAAAGCGTTAAATTGATAATCTAAAATATAGATTTCAAACTGGCAAATATTTAAAACATTATTTGCAAAAAAAAAAATGTTTTTTTTTCTTTTGAATCATAGAAATTAATACGAATATTTTAAGATTTGCATTTACTAAATATTTTAATAGTAAATTAAAGGTTAGATAGAGAAATGGCCATGTTCCAAAATCCTTATCAAGTTCTAATAAGAATACAATTTTTTTAGAAAAAAAAATTTCGCCTTTAGTTTTGGCTGTCACTGACAAATATCTTTTTCACAAAACTGAAATGTTGAAGGGTTATGTAATATGCTAATGCCAAAGTACCAAATATGCTAATATAGGTATAAAATATTATAATGATATATTTGGTAATAATTAAAACAGGACCAATACTAGGCAGTTTAAATACCGATATTTTAAAAATAAGTGTTTTACGACCCCTCGACAGGGACATGTACCGAAGAAAATTATTTGATAGTGGTACATTTTGACTTATGGTTTTGCCTCGAGTAATAGCATCATGCCAAGGGATGCTAAATGCATTTTATCTTTATTCTAATGGGATGAACTACAAAAAACAAGTTTTACTTACTTCAATAAAGTAAAGCCACTGTAAAGGGAAACAAATAATGTTAAATTTTAAAAGAATGAAATTATTTCAGCTATATTAATTGAAAAACTTAGTGGACGAAGCAGGTAAGTGACATTTTCAGAATGAAAAAAAAAGTTGTATTTGAACTATTTTATCACTAATTTAGTAGAAGGCGTGACGAATAATTCTTCGCTTTATTGTTCCTAATTTGAAATAAAAACCAAATTAAATCAAAAATAAAATTGTATTGCCTAATTTGGAATAAAAATCATGTTGCATACTAAAAATTTATATCATTAGTTACGTTTAGATTTTAAAAATGGTAAAAGCAGTGATTCATTAATTTCACTAAAATGTCACTTACCTGGTTCTTCCATCAAGCTCTTTAATTGTGTCGGTATATGCTTTTCAGTTTTGAGCATGATTTCGTAGTGTTTCACTACTCTGATCTATTGATCACCCCGTGCGAAGAGCGGGTATTGAGCTAGTATATAAATAATTTTTTTAAAAAACTACACTTCGAGAAGGGGAAAAAAAATTCAGATAATTTCTTCTCTCAGCAATCACATGACTGATTATAGTTTCGAACTACTTACTTTCTAATTATCTACCAAAATAAGTGAACGGTAAACAACCTGAAAAACTTTTGATCTAGTGATCGATCTTTTCCGAACTAAGAGCCAATTTTATTTGTTCAAGTGGGAAGTCTTAAATATACAAATTAGCAAGAGCAGATTATAATTCAAGTTACAAAATTAAATACAATTTTATTTATTACAGTCATTTATTACACCATATTATATCATTTTTCATCACCATTGAAGGATTTTTTGGATGAATGAATTTGTGAAGTTTTACTTATCTTTATTACATTAATACTCATTACAAAAGTATGAAAAAGTGAAGGCATTGAAATATCAACATTGCGGCATTCTTCAAAGCATTATCTAAAAGGAAAGAACAAAAAATTATAATTCAAACTAGAATTACTTATTATATTCAAACACTCTTAATTACAATTACAGTTAAATATTTAAAAATTAAATTCTCTCTATAAAATTTGGTATAATTAAAAATGTTTCTGTTAAAAAAAAAATCAATAAAAACTTACTTCAGTTATTTAGCCGAATGCTTCACAGCTGGCATAAGTAATATGAAGAAAATTATCTTCCGATTTGTATCTTTCATATACTTCAGCTAAAGTTAAGCCTAAAGCAACCAATTCGTTATCAATTATAAAATAGAGGCCTTCGTAGTGTGGCAGTTTTATTCTACACCTGTGAAAAAAGTTTCATGAATCAATAATTTTATGCCATAATAATGAATTATGTTATATAAACTTGTCACTGATATTATGATCATTTCATTAAGTTCAGTAATATAAACAAGCCCCTCCCCCACAACCAACATATATTTTATTTTAAAACCGTCGTTGAACAGCCGACCCAAGTTTTAAGTTTACGACTACTAATGTACTCTGGTAAGGTACTCTGCCAGACATTCGTCTGGAGCTGTGGCGGTGACTATGGTAACGAGGTATGATTATTTTAAGTGGGGGAGCGGGATCCCTCTTTAGGACAGGTTTCGGCGAGAGAAAAGGAAGAGCTACCATCCCTAAAATGCCCTCTTCTTGTTTCCATAGCACCAGACTGCCGCAGACTTAGTGGCGGTCAGAGTACCTATCTTTGACAAATAGTAGGTTGCCTTGTTATTTTGAACCCAATCCAGATGACAAATAAACTCCATAATCAAATATTGAGAGAATTTTGTTTTCAAGGAGGACTTTTTGTTGGAACTAACCCGCATTTGCGTTACATGGAGAGGAATACCTCCCACGGTTAGCCTGTGAGGATATTTTACATCAGCAGTTTGGTCGGTGAGAGCCGGGTACGGAATTCGTATCGACCGGCCATCACTGGGATCCGAACTCGGTTCACCTCATTGGGAGGCGGGTGCTCTATCTCCTGAGCTACCGCGACTCGACCAACATATATTATTTAAAATATATATATTTTGTTAATAGAATAAAAATAATAGATTATTACATCGTTTTTCGAGAAAAAAAGGGTATTTTGCGATAGACCTGTATATTCCTCTAATACTTAACAAACAATGAAGTTAAAAATGTTTTCCGGATAACCGGGATAAAAACAGGATTTATGGATTAAACAAGAAAAAAAAACACTATCGAAATCAAACTTATCACTACAGGTAATGCTACGGAAAGAGGGAAAGAAACAGTAGAGCTATTTGAATTCCAGAAGAAAGCATTGGGGATTTCAGGCTTTTGCAAAATTTTGTTGATAGAAGGTTTTTTTTTAACCACACATTCCTTGTTAGGGATTCGAGGGACTTTAATTGCGTTTATTCATACTCTTCGCTAATGATTTTGTTGTAATTAACAGTAGTGCATTTTTTGAGCTTCATATTCCCATGATATGTACAACAAAATAAATATGTGTATATTTTACTAAACAGATTTACACTTCACTCACCTAACCAGTGATTGAAGTTGACTTATAGTCGTGACTTCAGATACTATCCATTTAGGTCGATCTAGCACAGGGAGGTTCCAAGCAGTTCCGGATTTCTCAAATATTACCTGTAAAAATTTAAAACTATAAATGAAATATTAAAAAAAAGTAAAAACAACCTAGCTAAATTACTTTTTACGCATTTCTAAAGACAGGTTTGAAAACAATTTTTGTAAAATTAGGCTCTAGACAATAAGCGTAGGGGAGAGTCGGGTAGCCCCGCCTACTTAAGTATTGCTTATATTTCTGTATAATATTGAGTAATAATCAATATTTTTGAATGTTTCCATTGTTTTATCATCCAATTAAATAATGCAAAAAGAATAAATCAAAAAAAGAATAGTTTAACTGAAAAAATAGAAATTTAAAAAAACATGTTTTTCAGCTCTTCTCAAAATGAGTCGGGTAGCACCGCCCAGTTACAAAAATTTTGTTTTTGACTGTTTTTTCAGGTGTGAATGAAAATGACCAATGTATTGACAATATATAAACCTCGTTTATCATTTTTATCACAAAATTATTTTATTTATTGCATATTTATATACTTCTAGTGAATTCTATTATTTAATAACAATCATTTAATAACAACAATATTTGTTGTTAAAAATGCATATAGCATTCAAATTTGAAGCAATAAAATAATAATCTTTGCAACCGTACATTTATCGACGAAATAAAATTGGGCGGTGATACCCGACATTCATGTGAGCGGGGCTACCCGAAATCCAATTTTTTTGTAAATTTGTAATTACTCGAACAATTTTTTACATACAAACTTCTTTCTTTGTGCAAATTAAACTTAAGACTACATACTTTAATGCTGTATGTATAGAAAAAATTATTTTTTTAGTATTAAAATGAAGTTTAATCGAAACATTCAACCAATTTTTCTTAATTTCATGACTACTGTATTCAACATATTTTCAAAACTATTGTTTACCATGTTACCAGCTGCATAAATACTTGAAACTTTGAAAATAATATTTTTTTTAATTTAACAATTGATGTCCGATGGCCCATTGACTTGAAAAAATATTCTATACGTATGAAATTGACAGTGGCCCGGGGTACCCGCTGGGCGGGGGTACCCGACACTCCCCTACATGCGCTGATTGTAGGGAGCAAAAAAATATTCTGTTGATTAGAAAATATTGGTGACTTTTCTAAAACGTTTGGTGTATTATAAAATCCGTAAATAAATTAAATCGTAGATGCCCATCATTACGGGTCACGATCCAATCTTGGCTTGCATTCTTTTTTTCCTTCATGGTGAATCTTCAAAGCTTATTCGGAAATAAAGATTATTATATGCAAATCATTGAAGATTGTTTTATTATTTTACATCTTGAATGTTTTTTGTTCTTCTCTTTATAGGGGTTTTCAAATCATATGCGACTGACGGTAAATTACTCCAAAACAATGTATAAGCTAGTGAATAAAACACTTTGCGATGCAATCTGTCGTCTAAAAATTGGCTCCCTGACTTATTTTTAATTACAGTAGATCTTTGTTTATTATAAAAATTGACATTACCCTTGATATCTAAAATCATATCTCATCAGCCGAGAAACATTTTTTTAAATCTATTTTTTCTAATTAATAAAAGCATTTTTTTTGCGATCTCTTATCCCTTCATTGAAATCTTCTCAATATGTGAGTCAGAACCTAACTAAAATGGATGAGTGCAAAGGAGCAATATCTGTAAGAAAGGTCCTCAAACGGTGTAAAAAAAATTTAATGAGAGCCCAACATCATTAAAAGTACTAGAATTAATCTGAGCTGTTCATATTAATAAAATAGATGAAAAGAATCCAGCAAAGAAGATTAAATTTTTGTGTCAAAAGCCTTCGGGAAAAAGGAAGTCCATAATGGCGGTTCAATTCTGTGGAATCAAATTTAAAGTGATTTTAGTAAAATCTAACAATCTTTGCCAAAATATTGCTTTTTGTTTATAGTAGAGTTTTTTAGCAGAAAGATTTCTCCAAATGTGAAACAGAACACTGTAGAATACACACAGTGAAACAGAAGCATGTATATTCATCATTAATCAGTTAATAAATATAATTTTTACATATGGCTCTTACTATTGTTCACGAATTTTCTTTTTAAAGTTAAACCTCTATCTTAATCATTAGATTATCAATTATTTATTTTTTATATATAAAATACCAATTTTATTTTATTTTGTGTATTAATAAGTAATTTTAATTATAAATAGATTATTAGTTCACAAATCAAGTTTTATATACCGAATGACGCCCTATTGCATAAAAAAGGCCTTGGAATTCGTTGTGTAGTCTTTAATTATTTAATTATAAATTTACATGCAATAGAAATTATCCCTGGAATACGAAGAAAAAAAATTTCTATGAAATCTAATGGAAGTAATGGTATAGAATTTCGAACTCATGTACTAAATAAAAAACGGAATATCTCAATATCTTTTCTTATTATTATCTTAAGATTCAAACCTTAATCATTCGAGGAATTAATCTTAAAAAATATGATGATGAATTTGTGAAGATGATATTTTAAGTCATAAAATTAATCTCAAAAAACGTGCTTTCTTTGAACAAGAATGCCTTATTAGACAGATTTGAATTTTAAAGCATAAAATACAAGCATACGCTGTGATCTGAAAATTATGGTACTGATAGTGATATGGTGAAAATTTGAACCCATTCTGGTTAATTTATCTTAAGACTTATATAGTCTTATCTCCTACTTCAGAAAAATGAAAAACTTTTCACGTAAAATCATTAAACTTTTTCCTGACATAATTTCTCACAAAAAAAGACAACTTTTAAATATTTGTTATTTTCTTTCATTAAATAGTAGTAAAAATTTTATAGAGCGCAAAGTTTGAAAATTTTTATTTCATTTCAAATACTGTTATACAAAATTTGAACGAAATTGGACGAATAGTTCATGAATAATCATGACTCAAAATAAACGTATTTTTATTTATTTATATATTTTATTCTTTCTTTTCAGAAAGAGTTATTCAACAAATTTCGTATAATATTTTGAATTTTTTATTTATTCCTAAATTGTATCAAACGAAATGAAAATGTAAGTGCCGTATAAATCGAACATTTTTCCGACCATCATTAATTTAAATAATACGAAATAATGATCAATTTTAAAAAATGCTTGGAAATGCCTATGGAAGTCAATTTTTCTAATTATGTGCAAAAAGTATTTTAATTCACCTTTAAATAATTTAAGAGCTATGGCGATACAAGAAAAAATTATAACATTATTAAAAAGCTCAAATTTTCGACTGCTGTCTAGTGTAAACTTGTGGCCATATTTTCCAACCTGTGACTACCTTTTACACCGTTAGAAACTTCTCGGAAAAAAATGGTTAAATAACAATTTATTGAATGGTTAGTTTACCATATTTTATCAAAACTGTCAAATAACCATAAACAAAATGGTAATCAAACTGTTAAGTTTGAGAAAGACTGTTTATTAATTTCTTTCACTTAATACGGTTAAACAAAGAGAATTTTATCGCACCAGCTAGAACCACCTAATGAAGCTACTTAGTTCTTTGAAATTTCGTACATATCATAGCCGAGCTGGCTTATCTGTCGGTCTCATGACCGACAGAAATGGATTTCGAGTCCTAGTGTTGACACCACAATATTTCCTCCCTTCCCTTCAACACAAGAAGAATTTACAGTGTCCGACACTCTCCAATGCCCATTACCTTACGAAAAGCCGAGCTCCTATATTTGGTAAAATAATTCTTTTTTTTTTTTTTTACGTTTTTGATTGTTGTTGTTGTTAATTTACGTCGCACTAGAGCTGCACAATGGGCTATTGGCGACGGTCTGGGAAACATCTCGGAGGATGATCCGAAGACATGCCATCACAATTTTGATCCTCTGCGGAGAGGGTGGCACCCCCGCTTCGGTAGCCCGACGACCTGCGTGCGAAGTCGAGCATTTTGCGGTAGCACAGTTTAACGAGGACCAATACCGCACACCCTCGGTCCCTAAGCAGACTGATCCAAGTGGTCACCCACCCGCACACTGACCGCAGCCAGTGATGCTTGACTTCGGTGATCTTCTGGGAACCATGTCTTATCGATCAGTCAACTGCGGGACTTACGTTTTTGAATAATGCTAGTTGTAAATGGGTAAAAGTCCGTCTAGTTTCGTATTCATGGTTCTATAACTATACTTTTTGAAAACGGTTTCAAAACCATAAAGGAAAAAAATGTTCTTGACCGTAAACTTTACGGTTAATTGGATGGGCAGACAGCCGCCGGTTATTCTACCATAATTTTTGAAAGAAAATTTTAACAGTGTATATTTTGACGATCAAGAATCTGAATTAGTCGTTACGTCACAGATTCAGTTCAGTTGGACGTGCAATGACGTTCACAGATGCATGTTTATGTTGTTTTATACCTCTGGACAGTTGAGGGTTAAAACAATTTGAAAATATTGTAGCAACACTTACCGGTATAGAGTTTGGAAATTTTTTCAAAACTCTATCTGCCTCTTCTTTTCTTTTCGCTGAAAAATAAAAGCAGAAATTTGAATGATTTATTAATCAAATGCATGTTTATGTTGAGATTTAATTTCATAACAAAATAGAATGTGTGAATTAAAAAAGTATGTAACTAAGTAATAGTTAAGGCTGTTTTTAGAAGGCTGCGTTGTTGCGAATAATGTGCTATTTTTATTACTGCTGTGACTTTGCAACTATTACTCATGACTGTAAGGTCAAGTTTAGCCTATCTAAAGCCAGCGTTATCTACGCTTGTTTTGAAAATGGCTCAAAACGTCAAATTGAAAAAATGTCACAGTTTTGCGAAAACGAAAAAAGTTTGTTGTCTAATATTTTAATTTTTAAAAACTTATCCAATACGGCATTGCCTGATTTAAAATTTTTTTTGCAGAAACTGAGAATATGGCGGTGGTTTTGATAATTTTGATCTAGGTGGGAAAATGTAGCCAAATTGGGGATNAATCTCATGACCGGCAGTAATGGAGTTCGAGTCCTAGTGTTGACACCACAATATTTCCTCTCTTGCCTTCAACACATGAAGAATTTCCAGTGTCCGGCACTCTCCAATGACCATTACCTTACGAAAAGCCGAGCTCCTATGCCTGGTAAAATAATTCATTTTTTTCTTTACGTTTTAGAATGATGCTAGTTGTAAATGGGTAAAAAACCGTCTAGTTTTGTATTCATGTTTTTATAATCATACTTTTTGAAAACAGTTTCAAAACCATAAAGGAAAAAAAGGTTCTTGACCGTAAACTTTAAGGTTAATTGGATGGGCAGACAGCCGCCAGTTATTTTACCATAATTTTTGAAAGAAAATTTTAACAGTGTACATTTTGACGATCAAGAATCTGAATTAGTCGTTACGTCACAGATTCAGTTCAGTTGGACGTGCAATGACGTTCACAGATGCATGATTATGTTGTTTTATACTTCTGGACAGTTGAGGGTTAAAACAATTTGAAAATATTGTAGCAACACTTACCGGTATAGAGTTTGGAAATTTCTGCAAAACTCTATCTGCCTCTTCTTTTCTTTTCGCTGAAAAATAAAAGCAGAAATTCGTGTGATTTATTAATCAAATGCATGTTTGTGTTGAGATTTAATTTCATAACAAAATAGAATGTGTGGATTAAAAAAGTATGTAACTAAGTAATAGTTAAGGCTGTTTTTAGAAGGCTGCGTTGTTGCGAATGATGTGCCACTCATGACTGTAAGGTCAAGTTTAGCCTATCTAAAACCAGCGCTGTCTACGCTTTATTTTGAAATGGCGCAAAATATCAAACGCTGGGAAAAAAAAGCAGCAGTTTAGTGAAAATGAAAGGTGTTTGTGGTCTGATTCTTTAAAATTTAAAAACTTACTCCAAATGCTGCCCTTCCTGGGCTTATAAAAATTTGCAAAAACTAAGAATGAGACAGTGATTTTGATAATTTCCATCTAAGTGGGAAAATGTCACCAAATTGGCGATTTTTAAAAAAAATTGGCAATTTTTAAAACTTTTAAGTTGTTTTTCCATTCTAAAGCCCAAATAATTCTCCACAGCAAGATTATACAGATAGTAGTAGTTTAAAATCTTCGTAATGCTTCAACCGTAAGGCATTTTAATTATTGCTTTTTTATTTTCCTTGCCGACAGAGCGTCGAAAAACTGCGCTAAATCTCAATAACATTCAATAATTAAAAAAAAAAAAAAAAGAAAACTAGGAAAGTTCCAGACTGCGGTAACATGTTCCTTACTAGATACCTAGTTACATGAATTTTATTTTATAACCAGCGTTGAACAGCTGCGTGGTTTTCAACCCAACTTAGAAGATAATTGAAGCTCCTGGATCAAGCAATTAACTGTCCTTTGTGGAGGACTTCTTTATGGAACTAGCACGCAATTGTCTTACGTGGAGAGGAAAACTGCGAAGACCATTCACGGTTCGCCCTGTGGCAAAGGAGATCATAGCACATATGATCCGTCTACCACTGAGAATATTATGCGTCAACAATGTGGTATGATCGGTGTGAGCAGGAGCAGAAATTATATCAATCAGCCACTGCTGAGATTTGTACTAGAATCACCTTATTAGGAGATGAATGGAGGTACTCTATTCCCTGAGCCACCGCCACTCAGATATTGCACTAAGTGCAAAAATCTTGATATTTTAAACATATTTTTGATAGATTTTAAGGCACTAAATTCGAATATGATATTTATCGTGCCCGCCAACCTTACTTATGTGTTTTTTTTCCGCATTTTTTCAATTAATTCAATAAACAATAAATGCACTGTCAGAGTGTGTTATGTCATAAATTTTCATTATAATTTTACCTTTAAAGAATTGAAAATTGAAGTAGTATTTTTAAAAACAAAATTTTGATTTTAAGGAAATATGATTATTATGACTAATATTCTGGTATTGAATTTATAAATATATACATCATTTAGCAATATGGAACATATAACAGTGAAATAACCAGTATCTGTCATGCAAAAGATAATTTTTATCACTATTAAAATTTTATTTTAAGATATTTAAATCATAATTTAATAGATCTAATTGTTTGCTATTTGATATAGCGTATTAAAAAATTTAAACTTGATTTATGGCTAAAAGCAAAAATAGGCTGATAAACAATTGTGTATAATATAGCCTACGTCACAGGTTGTGTTGTTCCTACTAAATTTAACCCATGAACGGCATTTTCTGCGAGCCTAACTTCAAGCCACAAATAAACAAACGAAGTGTTCGATCGTTTAAATAGCTGCTCGCCAGATTTTATTGCATTATAAAGAAAAGTTATTGAAACTAAATACAACTAAATAAACAACAA